TATGAATATTATCGGCATTCCATCTGGTTTGTTCATATTGTCCTTGTGCAATGATACGATTCACAGTCTCAATAACGATATGTAATTTTTGCCGTTGACCTTCTTCACTCTGTGACACTTCCGGTACTTCGATCTATCAATATCAATTATCTTGAGAAGTGTTATTTTACATGTCGAGTAATTCTCGTGAAGTGATCAATTCATTGAATATGACATTCTTTTTGATAGCAAACTAAATCTGAGTGGACGAAAGTAATCTCATCAAAAAAGTGGATTTAAAAATTGCTGAATCAATCGCAGAAAAGTGTATTTGTAAGTGCTATGAATTGATTTCACATGAAATGGTATGAAACAAATGCTGAGAAGCGAACTTATATAAGTTCTATGAGGCCTCTCAGCCAAATACTGTGAATCCCGAAGCTCAACGGAGTCTTGCCCGATAAATTTTTTTTTCAACCATCAACTTAGATGTGGAATTGGTAATCATGAGGAAAGGGATGAATTTCCGTTCTACGAAAAGAATATCATTCAAGAGGGGATTACTTTGATATTTGCCAATTTTTCGATGAGTTTCTGAATGATTTGTCCATCGTAAAGATCTTCTTGAATGTGTTTAATGACAATTCGTTGAGCTGACAATTCATCGTTGAGCCATTGAATGAGTAAGTGGATTATCTCTTGAACACGCGGATCATCACGTGATTCATTCGTTAGGAAACGTTTCTCTTCACCTTCAATTTGATCTCATTGAATATTCGATGCGGATCTTGATGCTGAGTTGTTGCTCGTGTAAAGCATATCGATAGTCATCCATTCAACAGTGTTTTCAGAATATTCAAGTAATTTCCGAGAAGCTGCTTTAAAAAAACCATCAACTGAAAAAGTGTCAAATGGAGTCCACTTTAGTTGGATACTTTGAAGAGTTTCGAAGGGAGTTAGATCATATTCTTTGCATCATCGTACCCCTCCCCATAATCGTACCACAATCCTGCATATGCCGCTGATCGGCTTAATTGAATACTGAAGACAAAATATTAGATGATGAACCTTCTTCTAGGATTAGATTCTGTAAAGTGGCAGCAACTGGAATAACTGATGAATCCAACGCATCGGCGCCCTCTATTTCCACCTGAATGATTTAGAAATTATAAAATTGTGATCATTTGAAAGATACTATTAATAGTGTTGATTTTTTGCTAGCATCACTTTGATTGCTGAACGATCGTTGTGACTAATTACATTTTCTTTTGTGTTACTATCATTACTAAACTGTTCACTGGTTCGGTACTATCCACAATAGGTGATTAAAAGGTGGTTAAAAAGAGAATGTGATGGATGATTTAGCACAATGCGCAATTGCTTGATCACTTTATGACGAGATTCGATCTCTCATCAAGAGTCTCAGTTCCGGATTGGATGTGAATGCAACAACCACTTTAGATGAGTTTCCAATGAGCACTCCATTTCCACCTACCTTTTTCTCCCGTCTCAGCGAAACTCTACTAATGTTTGACTTTGAATACATTGAAACATG